AGATGCCTGGCCAATATTAGTTACACGAGGAATTAGTACTCGAGTAAAAAAATAATGAAGTATCCTATGTTGAACCTTCATTTACCCTTCCAGTATTTTGCTTTGTATGTGAGCATCATTTCTACACACGAGTTGCCTAAAACTTACAAAATCGTAGTGCTCTTTCCACTCATCGATAATTCCTCCTTCANACTGTGGTAACATAGGTGACCATAGTGTACATTTTTTTATTTTTTGCAAAAAATCGAATGGTTTTGGTGTGATTTTGTTGTTTAAGTGTGATTTTGTTGTTGAAGTGTGGTTTTAGTTTGGGAGGTGATGTTTGGGAACCCTATGTTGCACATAAGAATGAAGTTTGTTGAGTTGAACTAGTTAGGTGGAGTCACTCCAGCACCAAAAAACACACTTGTAATCGATTACAACTCCTCCGTAAAAATTTACACGAGCAGAAAGTGAGATTTGTTAAGAAAATTGTATTGCAAGAGCCAGTTGTGGTAACATAGGTGACCATTGTCTAAATTTTTATAATTTTGGCCTAATTGCATTGGTTTTGGTGTGATTTTGTTGTTTAAGTGTGATTTTAGTTTGGGAGGTGATGTTTGGGAAACCCATGTTGGACATAAGAAAAAAGTCTATTGAATTGAACTAGTTAGGTGGAGTCCTGGAACTCCTACACCAAGAAACACACTTGTAATCGATTACAACTCCTGCGTAAACGATTACACGAGCTGAAATTAGGATTTGCACAGAAAGTTGTATTGCAGGAGCCAGTAGTGTTAACATCGGTGACCATTGTCTAAATTTTTATAATTTTGGCATAATTCCATTGGTTTTGTTGTGATTTTGTTGTTTAAGGGTGATTTTAGTTTGGGAGGTGATGTTTGGGAACCCCATGTTGGACATAAGAAAGAAGTCTGTTGAGTTGAACTAGTTAGGTGGAGTCATGGATCTCCAGCACCAAAAAACACACTTGTAATCGATTGCAACTCCTGTGCAAATATTTACACAAGCACAAAGTGAGATTTGTACAGAAAATTGTATTGCAGGAGCCAGTTGTGGTAACACAGGTGACCATTGTCTAAAATTTTATAATTTTGGCCTAATTCCATTGGTTTTGGTGTGATTTTGTTGTTTAAGTGTGATTTTAGTTTGGGAGGTGATGTTTGGGAACCCCATGTTGGATATAAGAAACAAGTCTGTTGAATTGAACTAGTTAGGTGGAGTTCTGGAACTCTTGCACCAAGAAACACACTTGTAATCGATTACAACTCCTGCGTAAACGATTACAAGAGTTGAAATTAGGATTTGTACAGAAAATTGTATTGCAGGAGCCAATAGTGTTAACATCGGTGACCATTGTCTAAATTTTTATAATTTTGGCATAATTCCATTGGTTTTGTTGTGATTTTGCATCTTAAGTGTGATTTTAGTTTTTGAGGTGATGTTTGGGAACCCCATGTTAGACATAAGAAAGAAGTCTGTTGAGTTGAACTAGTTAGGTGGAGTCTTGGAACTCCAGCACAAAAAAACACATTTGTAATCAATTACAACTCCTGCGTAAACGATTACACAAGCAGAAAGTGAGATATGTACAGAAAATTGTATTGTAGGAGCCAACTGTGGTAACACAGGTGACCGTTGTCTAAATTTTTATAATTTTGGCATAATTCCGTTGGTTTTGGTGTGATTTTGTTGTTTAAGTGTGACTTTAGTTTGAGAGGTGATGTTTGGGAACCACATGTTGGACATAAGAAACAAGTCTGTTTAGTTGAACTAGTTAGGTGGAGTCCTGGAACTCCTGCACCAAGTAAACAACTTGTAATCGATTACAACTCCTGCGTAAACGATTACACGAGCAAAAAGTAGGTTTTGTACAGAAAGTTGTATTGCAGGAACCAGCTGTGTTAACATAGGTGGCCATGGTCTAAATATTTTTATATTTTTGGGATAAATCCATTGGTTGTGGTGTGATTTTGTTGTTTAAGTGTGATTTTTGTTTGGGAGGTGATATTTGGTCAGCCCATTTTGGACATAAGAAACAATTTTGTTAAGTAAAGCCAACGTCATTTAGACCAATAATAAACAAATTTTTTTTATTCAAATATAAAAATTAAAGCACATGAACATAAATTGAAGCTTTCTATTGTGGTTCACACTGATATTGGGTGATTAACATTACAACTACATCCATTAATGTGAACTTCAACTTTAAGATCATTCCAATGGTGGTCAACCTCGAAGACAACAACGTCTCCTTCCTTCAAGCCATATTCGATGCAAAATTCTTTCCATACTTTTCCAAACTTTGTTGAATTCCTACTCTATGAAACTAGAACTTTGCACATGATGCCATCCTTATAACCAAGAAGCATAACCTCTGTCAACCCCTTATTCCTAATTTCAATCGCAAATGTAGTATGCAAGTTCTGCGCAACAAGTTATATAAAGTGAATGACATTGTAAAATTATATTATTTTTAACAAAGGTTGGGGAAATTTTGAAGGATTCCATACGTACCAGATGACTTCCTTGACATTGTGATTTAGTCAATTTGACAACAAACAATGAGGACTCTGGATCAGTAGTACACTGATCAATGAATGATTCCCTGTTGTTGTCGGTGCAAGGACCAAAATAAATTATAATTTTGAAATTGTTGTGACCCAAATATTGGAAGGTCATGTGGGCATCATTAAGCCTTTCATGGTATATGTTTTTCATTGAAGACCATCCAGTCATAATTCTAGGATCTAATGTACTAATGTTATAAGTTACCAAATGTGTGAGACCATTATTGTCCACCAACGACCACGTACTTCCTAATTCATTTTCAAATGATGCAACGAAATGACTATCGACATACCCAAATTCCTGCAAAAATACATGAAAAATTTAGAATAACAATACAGACGTGGAAAAATTTATAACCAAAGAACATGTTTAACAAATTAGTTAGGTGGATGGTGACAAACTCCCACAGGATTGTTGACGGTCCTGCGCTAGAGGATGTAACCATGCTTTCAAAAACGGAAAAATATATATGTCGATATGTTTCTTTTTGTTCCTTCCACACATATCTCCATAACATATATATAGTTGTTTAACATGTTTGTTGAACAGTCCCAACACTGTTTGTCAAAACTCTCCATTAAATGTTTCCAAAAAACTAAGACTTGACTACTCCTGAATGGGTTTGGGAAAATGTTGGACCGTTGAATGCCCTTCAATGTATAATTAATCCAGTCAAACCGTTTCACCACCCAACCAATAAAATTTAATTGCGATCCCGATATTTTGACCACTTTATCGTTGAACATGTGATTGCCTTCGCTAGCATTTATTGCTATACGAATGTCATTTAAATTCGAAGATGGTCATTGCCTTCCCTATCATTTATGGGTATACAGAAAAACATGTCAAATCATGTTTGGGAAAAGCATTTTCAGAAAAGGAAAAAATTTTACAAGATAAGCAAGTTAGTTGCAGTCCTAAGACTTGTACACCAATAACCTGACTTGTAATCGTTTACAACATCTTGGTAAACGATTACACAAACAAAATATGGTATTTGTACACAAACTTGTACTGCACGAAGCAGTTGTGGTAACCTAGGTTACCATACAATAAAATTTTCATTTTTAGACATTATTCCAATGGTTTAGACTTGATTTCGTTGTTGGAGTGTCAGTAGAGTGTTAGAAGTGATGTTTGGGAACCCCAATATTCAGAAAACCACAAAAATGTTATGATATGAGCCACTTGGGTGAAGTCAAGGAACTTGTGCACAAAAAAACACACTTGTAATCGTTTACAGGTGCTTGGTATACAATTACACGACCAAAATGCAGGATTTATATAGAAACTTCAACTGCAGAAGCTAGTTGTGGTAACCTAGGAGACCTTTGTCTAAAATTTACATTTCTTGGCATAACTCCAATGATTTTTAGTGGATTTTGTTGTTCAGAAGTCAATTACAGAGCTTGGTTTATTCATGTACGTATTTATCAACAATAATTCATAAAAGGTTGATGTTTACATTCATGACGAGAACTTTAAATTTCCATTACCCACTTGAGTTTTAAAAACATTACAATAGTGAACTGCCAACATAGTAATCCAAGAATGTTCAAAATGACAATAAATAAATCTAACCAAATCTAAGTACGAGGTTCGTTATCAAAGCGGGTGCACAAGTGTTGGAGTTGGTCCTCAATGTTAGTAACTCGCGATTCCAACGAATCAAATATTGTCCCCATTGTGATGTCCATGTTTCCAAACCTTGTACCAACAAAGGTCTGCAGTTCTTCGATGCGGTTGATTACATCATTTAGTGTTGTAGAAGAACTGACTTCTTCACTATCTTCTTGTTGTCTGCCTTGACGTTCTTAATTGTGGGCATTCTCTTTTGGAACCCACACTCCCTCTTGATTTTGCACATAACCGAATAAGCATATAACTTCATTTACCATCCTTTGTTTGGCCTTAATTTGTGTACATAGATCAGTCTCAGTAGGGACTTGAAAGTGTTCCAAGAAGACGGTTATCAAATGAGGATAAGGTAGTCTAGCGTTGTCCTTTAATGCCCTTTTCATCCTGTATCTGATAAGATGTCCCCAGTTAATTTCCATGGAATTGAAAAGGGCCCAGAGTAGCATAATATCCTCTTCAGATGCCTGGCCAATATTAGTTACACGAGGAATTAGTACTCGAGTAAAAAAATAATGAAGTATCCTATGTTGAACCTTCATTTACCCTTCCAGTATTTTGCTTTGTATGTGAGCATCATTTCTACACACGAGTTGCCTAAAACTTACAAAATCGTAGTGCTCTTTCCACTCATCGATAATTCCTCCTTCATAACGAACACTAGCGGATGGGAGGGAAGTGAGCTCATTAAATACTTTAGGGCTTACTCTGATTTTGACCCCTTTGACTTCGCTTCGAATAACACCGGTATCCGAAATGGACATGTTGTTGTAGAACACGTTTACTAATTATGGCTAGAAATCTCTATTTAAGGACACAAATTTCGTCAGCCCAGCCTCAGACAATATGTCGTAGAATTGAAAATTTCTTCCTTCAAAGTAAGCATCTTCGAGATATTTGCTTTCCAATATTTCACAATTGAAAAAATGGTTTGCAAATTTCTCATATTGTTCATCAGAGGAGAAAAGTTCATTGTTTGGTGGTGGTGGGGATGATGGTGGGGATGGTGTTGGATTGCGTTGGCGACGACGTCCATCACGAGAAGAAGATGGCCTTCGTTTCTTTGTTTCACGATCAACTATTGCACGATTGTTAGGGTTATCAGATGAACATTAATCTTGGGAGGGTACTTCAACAACTTTAAGACTGGGTACTTAAGTAGAGGAAACCTAAAGTGAGGGACGTGGGGAAAGTAGGTTGAAGACTGGGTAGTTATATTGACAAAGCAAGATACCTAAAGTGTGGGATGTGGGGATAAATCGTTGAAGAGCGGGTAGTTATATGTACGCAGTACGGGCTATAATCGATTACAGATAACTTGTAATCGATTACGAGAAGGTTTTTTGGCCCATTCAATTAATTTCAAAGTGGTCATCAACCAATGCTTTACCATAAAAATCATGTATTTATTTACACAACATTTACACAATAATGTTATATGCATACAAAAAGAAGTAGGAAGTATTTACATCAAGCAATGTTGTTATCGAAATTGTTTTGTACAGTTGGCAACAAAGACATAAATCCAGAAGGAGACACTTCGGATTGTTGTGATACTTGGTAAGATTGGTAACATTGGGATCCATATTGCACGACCTCTGGACTTTTTATCACATCAGGTATTGTTTGTCCTGAATGAACACAATTATAATTAGAATACATGTAACAAAATGATGTAATAAATGGAAGAAACATACAATTTCATTACTTACACAATCTTGTACGAATGATGTTGAAGTTTTTTTGGATGATGAAGTTTTCCCTTTTTTGGTTATTTTCTCAACGACTGACTTCAACCTGTTGGTGCGTGGTCGTCCTTTTCGCTTCACTGCTATAGGTCTACGGACAAGTACATCAACACTTGCACTAGTAGTGTCGTGTATTGTACCGGTGACCGGATTGTCATACCGTAGTTCGCCTCCTTCACTAATTATGTTATTTGTGATGGATGAACTGCATCCAAACCTTTTTCCCAGCAAATGAAGTTCTTTTTCCATGTCATTAGAAGCAACTTCTGATTCACAAGCTACCTCAGCTATTTCATAGAATCGTTTGAACAAAATTTGGTATCTTTGCATGGTCGGTTCATGATTGGAATTACTATACGCTGCTCTAATCAAAGTGTGCCTTTTACGAATATTTTTTCTCCCGTCGTAGAACGTATTTTGAGGGCACACTATAAACATCTTCCTGACCGAATACCAAAAGGCAATGGGGACAAATGATGCCTCTAAACTCAAATAATAGGCAAGACATGTGCTATTTTTTGTGACTGGATCAAATTGCACCTTATAAAGTTTATCTGCACATTTACCTTTCCACATGTGTTCCTCTTTCATTGTGTAAGTGTTGAAGTTGTCCTTTATGGTTTCTTTGATGAAACAATTCATCCTTGACCGAAACTCTGTCTGGACTTCCTCAAACTTTGCATGTGTGTACTCTAATTGAAGTTGTCTCTCGATCGGTGACTGAGAGCCACATGCAACCCTGGTGTTGAGGGACGAGAAATCAACTTGTATTTCTTTTTGTGCCTTCACTCTGAGGGCATTGTCATATTGAACCACAAATTGATGAAGTATGGTTCTAGAATATATAAATCCATGAAAGAAAGCATTCATTCCCTCACTTCTTTGAGTAGTTGACATGCCCACCCAGAAATGATTCCTCAAGTAACAAGGTACCCATATGTGTCTCTCTTCATATAAAGTACATAACCATTCATTCTCCTGTAATCCATGCCTGATTAGTAGTTCTTCCCAATCATTCCCAAAGTCCGTTGGACAACCACAATCGTAGACAAGCGCGTTCAAATCAGTTTTGATGGCCACATATTGTTTATAACCTTGAAATTTTTCTGGCAACTTTTTCATTATGTGTCATAAACACCACATGTGCCTAGTAATTGGAAATACTTCTTTGATGGCATTCGCCATTGCCCTACATTGATCAGTTATAATCCCATTTGGGGGCTTATTACCCATGTGTCTTAGACAAGATTGGAACAACCATACAA